TATCCTTTCCGTTACAACACATTCACAAACAGATTTCTTTCACCCGATATAATACATTAAATAAAACGACAAACATCATAATTATAGAGATGCCTATCTTTAAGTACTTAAATGTTATCAATCATTATTTTGAGTATGTGACGCACGTACCTCAAATTTAACCATTTAAACCCAAACATGCATTTACCTGTGACTGGTACGAGAGGTACACTAAAACATCGCTTGTCCCCAAGCCTGTTTAGAAATCAAATGGAAAAATCATATCAAATCCAATTACAAAGACACCTTGGCAGGATATTCAAAATAGAGGTAAAAACTCAAACCCTTTGAACCCTGGTCCCTTAAACCCATCAGGACCTGTGCTCCTGTGCTTCTTTGTGTCAACTGTTAGATTTTTACCGCAGCAGAAGGGTGAAAGTATAGTACGCTCAGATTTAAATCACAGTTTTGTAGATAAGAAAATAAATTATGTATTATCTTTCTATTACGAGCATAAACCTTCATTAATTTAAAATTCTCCAATAAAAAAGTTCATTACATGGTTTCCACCTTTCTGCACTTGAGATTTTCAATGCAGTTGCACAACAACAAAAAATTGATATGCCAATCTTATATTCTCACAGTTACGTGAGTCTTCACCTAGCCAGCAGACTATATTTTACTGTTATAATTTCCTTGATCAATCATTTCCATACCGTGCTTGAAAGCATGTAGGAGTAGTGTCATTTGGAATGATGAGCACTTCTGTCTGACACGCTCCAAATGACGTCACTGTGGTGTTGAAAAGATACACGTCTTTCCTGGAAGTCGTCAGGTCAGAACTGTGAGACAGAAAACCTCAGTTAAAGACCTTGCTCCAGATTAAATGACGTCATTGTAACACTCTTCATCTCCATCACAGACGATGTTTGATTCTCACTTGAAGATGATAATCTATTGAGTTCATCATTTTTTTGGACAGAAGAAAGTCCCCTAACACTATGGTTGGCCCTAGTGGAACGGGCTGGAGAAGCCTACTTTTTCAATTAATTAATTATGGGAGCTATATCTATGTGGGTGTTAAACGTTTACAACGATTTTGCAACAACAACAAAATCTTGATCCGGCAAGCTGGAATGGCTGGCAAGTTATGACTATCCTTACATTAACTCCCCAAGGGCAATCCAGCAACATAACTTAAATAAAAGCATGAAAAGGACTGCGGCTAGATACTGAAGAAGTTAAAGAAACAAAAAAGTTTTGTTTCTACAAATGCAAAAAAGCTTTTAAAAATTCAATGATTTTGAGCAAAAATCAGTACAGCCTTTATAATAAATGTGTCACACTGATGAAACTATCGTCAAAAGTGCAGAATAGTGTATTATCTATTTATTTGTCACATCATTAATTCATTACCCTTTTACCTGTTCATCTTTACAAGGTAAGGCCAAAGAATTTACCAATACCTCTGCTCTATTTCCTTTTGGAAATCATTTCTATGAGAATGTAGTGTGTAAAATCTGGATTAAATCACATTTAAACTTTTGAAATAGTTCTCTTAAAAAGAATAATGTTTATACATCTCACAGGGAGAAATGTGTTTTGGTCATTCGTTTACAATAGCAGCGCATTTCAAAGATTATTTGCACTCATGTATACACACAAAATAAAAGACATAAATGGTTAATGCTGAAACACCTCCGCTCGATAAACATTTACTTTCTTTTCTCTCCTTCTCCACATTATTTGTAGCACTGTGTGTTCAATAACCTCACTGCACTTACTATAAAAATGAAATTCTTTTTCTGTCTGTTCTTACTTTCTCCAAAATAATTCGTTTACTGTTGATTGATAACTGACATTCTGATCTCCACAGGTAGCTGTGCTACCAATATGACAAATAGCAGCAAAGATGCATAATAGATAGCATTTGTATAGCGCATATCCCCGCTCGACAGCAGGCTCTATGCGCTTTACACTATATTATTACCCCAGCAGAACATAGAACACTCCGAAACATTCTCAGCTTCCCGGGAAGCATACAGTTCAAGCAGCCGATTAAGCGCTCAAACACTAACAAACTGACAAGATCTTTCGCTGTCTATAGCCGGGTACCCATTCCCACCTGGGTGAAGTGAGGAAATTCGTGTAAAGTGCCTTTCCCAAGGACACAACGTCGGGCCCTTGACGGGATTCGAACCCACGACCTTACGGTTTAACAAATAACAACTGAGAAACACGATATAAATTCAGAGGGTAGGAACTGCACCCCCAGATGCAATCTGTATTTAAAAAATGGAGGATAACAAGGCAGTTTCTGTCAATTACCAGTTTCCAGAAGGATCTTGAGTTGTAGCCACAACCAAATGACATCCTGAAGGGTCAGCACAGGGTAACTTGCTTCCATCAGGTGGAGTTGGGTACAAGAATTTAGTCTGTTTAAATGTAAATTCATTACAGGGTGAGTTAAAAATTATGTTAACACTATCTGGGCAACACCAAACAGATAAGGTGTTGACCTCATTACACAGAATCTAAGTGGCGAATTTCTCTGATTTTTAGAATGCGCCTATGAATTCTAAAACTAAAATTCCTAACATATCTTGATTTTTTAGCATACGTGACAAATATTAAAGAGGTGTTGTCTATATAGTCCCAGTGCAGGTCATAGGCAGACCCTTTCCCTCCCCTTCCTTCCTACATATATACATTTTTGAGCAACCTAAATAAATGCAAGTATCATTAATGGAAGTATATGCGTCTTTACATTTGTTATTTATCATTATCATCTATTATTATTTTTCTCAGTGAGAGCAAGATGTTCAAGGTCTTTATGTCAGTTCCAGTGTCCAAGAAACTGCATTTGTCTTTCTCATGATTGTATTTATGAGAGGAGGCCATGCGAGCTTCTTTCAGCAATACCTCAATTGATTTCTTTCCCTTCCACGAAATTTTTAACAGAAGTTGCAATATTCAAAATGTAAGCTATTTTCCGATACAGTCCATTATCTTTTATCTAACTCTTCATCGTTGAGTTTGCTGTTTTGTGATATTT